TATTCCAATTAGCGGGATATGAAATGATATATAATGATGGGGATTTTAATAAAAACGATAGGGTAGTAATTTATTTAAAAAACCATTACGAATATACATATAAAACTTTTTTTTATTGTATATTGTAAGATATTACAAATAAACGTGAACATAAAAAAACATAAAAATATTACATAAACTTGTTTATATAGATCACCGTTTGCCAATGAACAAATTTTTGTAGATGAACTAAATCGATATCTTGAACAAACAAAAAAAAACATGTGCTTTTTCACATATTCTGGTAGGAGACATTAACATAAAAATAAATTTAAATAACGACATTGTCAATACATATCTAAACTATCTTAGTGAATATAATTTTGTATCTGTGATAAATAAAAAAACTAGAGTACATGGCACGACAGGAAACTGTCTAGATCATATTTTCCTAAAGAGTAAAATTCCTAACTTTGAGCTGAAATTCGTTTCCATCGTTTTTGAAAACAATATTACTGATCATAAAGCAACAATACTAGGAATACTTATGGAAACAAAAATAGAGTCACCTAATAATACAAGCAGAAAGACCCAATACATAAACTATGATAACTTAAGAAATGATCTGAACAGTTATAATTGGGATAACTTTTATAATGAAATGGATGCGAATGCTTTAACAAAAAATTTCATTGGTTTATTAAAATACATATATAAAAAAAATCAAAAAGGTGTAATATTAAACGTACTCAGTGGATTAGTGCTGGCATTGTAAACTCTGTTAATGATAAAACAGACTATACAGCGAATTTAAAAATGATCCTGAAAGCGAATATAAAAAAATAACGTACATAATATACAAATTAATAATAAAGCTAAATATAATTACTATAAAAACCAAATAAATAAAAACAGAAAAATCTATGGAATGTGGTCCAAAAGATTTGTGTAAATGATAGAAAGAAAGATCCCAAAGAAATAATCCCAAACAATGTAATCTGTAATACCCCCGCGAGCATTGCAGAAGCTTTTAATGTGTTTTTTATTAATGTTGGTAAATCATATGCAAAACAAATTAAAAAGCCTAATACACCACCACCACCACTTAGAGAAAAAAATCAAAATTCATTATTTTTATTACCTGTGAATGAAAAAAAAATAATAACAATAATTAAATCATTAAAACTTAAAAAATATTCAGGATATGATAATATAAAATCAGAAATACTTCAGATATAATATCAAAACCTATAAGTCATATCATAAATATAATTTTTATTACAAGTACAGTACCTTAAGAATTTAAAATAGCGGTTATTACGCCAGTACATAAAAAAGGCGATAACAAAAAATTAAACAACTATAGACCAATCTCAGTCATAACATCTCTCGCTAAAATATTTGAAAAAGCCTTAAAAAACTTTTAGTAAATAATAAGGTAATTTCTGAAAAACAATTCGGATTTAAAGAAGGTTAATCAACTAATGATGCCATAGGAGAACTTGTAGATAACATCTCACCGTTTTTAGAGAAGAGTAACCCAACTTTATGTGTATTCTTGGACCTTGCTAAGGCGTTCGACACTGTGTCATACTCAGATGTTACAGGCCTTGGAGGATGCAGGAATACGTAGAGTACCCAATAAATTATTTCGAAACTATTTATCAGAACGCTTACAAGTAGTAAAAATTGATAATATCACAAGTTCAGAAAAAACTTTTAGTTACGGTTTACCTCAAGGAACTGTCCTGGGACCAACTTTATTTTCAATTTATATTAATATAATGCTTACTTCGGTTTCTAGTGGAAAAAATATCAGCTATGCAGATGACACTGCTGTCCTATATACTGATACATGGAACGATTTAAAAATTAAAGCCGAAAATGATTTAGAACAGATATTTGACAGGTTTGGTCATCTATCACTGACTATAAATTATGAAAAAACATTTTTTTTACCATTTTCTAATAATATAAGATGCCTACCAGAATATAAAACAACGATATGTAGATGTCACTTTAATATTTAAATTTGCCGCCACATTTAAGTTGGCAACGTCCAGTCTGATCTTTGATAATTTTCTAGTTTTGACAGATATACTTCACTTGTCAATTGTCTTGAATATAGTCACTTTTGGGTTTTATGTGCAAGAGTCAAGTGCATGGCGATTAAAAACCATTTTTAATTATTTTGAGTTTTATTATGGAAAATACGAACGTATCCTAAAAGAAGTAATAACTACAGATACAAAACTCCTCACAAAATATTATTATAAACTCAAAAGAAAATTATAAATATCTAGGAGTGGCCATAGATTCGCATTTAAAATGGGATATTCACGTGAATATACTAACTAAAACTCTAAGACAGTTATTATACCGTTTTAAATACTTAAAAAATATATTAGATTTACAATACTTAAAAATTTTATATTACGCTCTAGTTGAATCAAGGTAGGTATGCCATAATGAATTGGGGAGGTACAGCATATTGTCATCTTAAACAACTTGATGTACTACAAAAAATAATTTTAAAATTAATTTATAACAAGAAAATTACTTACCCATCATAAAGAAACCGGAATACTAGATATTAGGCAAATGTTTCTACATCAAATTATTCAATTTATTTATAAAAATAAAAAATTGTTTGAAAAAGATAATCATGACTATCACATACGGTACAAAGAAAATAATAATATAAAAATTAAGCCAGTACAAAAAATTATTAGCTTACGATGTCATACTCATCTGTCACGGAAAATTTATAATGATCTGCTTGAAGTTTATAAAATATATCTAGACAAAATAAACTCTGCAAATATGATAAAAAATACATTATTAATTTAGGTAGGCTTGAAACAAGAAAATTAATTGAAAATAACACCTAAAGAAATTTTCTTCGCTGCCACCCCTAACCCCCCCCCCCCTCCCAGTGTCAGCGTTCTTATAATTGTAAAAAAAGAGTAAGAATTAGGTTTAGTTGTTTTTGGCGAATACCATTTATTAAAGCTGGGCGATGCTGTTTGTCTTCATCTAACATCATGTAGTCGATATTTAATGTCCACGATAAACATGTTTTTTAAGTTTCCAACAAAATTATATTTTAAAATACGAAAACACATTACTACTACGCAGACGCCATCTAATACACAGGTACCTACAGTAAAAGTTATACAAGTAATTTTAAAAAATCGACTCCAAAATCATGCAGATGCCATTACAAATTGACTTTGCTGATTTTATCATAGATCCCATCACCAGATCTTGACCACATTTATTTGGGACCACCCCTGAGGTACTCATAGAAATCGGACAAGGTGATAAAGAATTATTGCTGAACAAACATAAAAAAATTAAGTTTGACGATTTTCTCACGGACTCAATTATTAAATATTGACCAAATTTATATGATACCACCCCTGAAGTTCCCCCTTTCTAACAAAAAAAGAATCCTAGAAATCGGACAACGTGGTAAAGAATTATCGCTGAATATACATAATAAAAAGAAATTGAGAACCTCTTCCTTTTTTTAAGTCTGTTAAAAATTTCAAAATATTGTCTTATTTACCTACTAAAATCGTTACATTATTCTATTCGCATGAACATGATTAGTATGAAACCATTTCTGTTGGGCAATTTGGCAACGTTGGCTTGTCATTAAAGAAACAACTACAACTCTACCAGGACAGATTAGAAAGTTTTGAACCTAAATGTGACATCTCAATAATTAATTTCCCGTATGCTGACACCAGTTAATTTTAAATGTTAACGATGTATTTATAAACACTGCTACATTCTTACAAGTTGAATTGTAGGTTGATTTTAATAAATTTTTCCGATTAATACTTAATTTAAAAAAATACTTTTTATGAATGTTTGACTTTTTAAATTTATAAATTTAAATTAACGTTGTATAAGTACCCTAGTAAAAATGGTTTTGAAAGGAAAAGCACCGATTTAAATGAGAGGTCCTTCATGGTAAACTGGATGCGAAAACAATGTTTTTCGATGGAAAAATAAGTAAAAAGTGTATAAATAATCTTGAAAAATTATTAAAAAGGTTAATAAATAAAATACATTTTAAATCTTCTTCGTAAATATATTTAATAAAAATTTTGTCACATAAAGAGTTAGGTTAAATTTTCAAGAAATTATTCTACAAATTAGAAATGAATTAAAATCAAACATTAATTAATTAATTTAGTAATTTTACTCCATTAATTACGTGAGGTATTTTTGAGGATTTTTTGACCTCCCTCTCCCCCTAGTGAGATTTCGAAAGATTTTTCTCAACTCCCTCCCCCCTTCCCTAATATCACGTGAGATTTTTCAAAATTTGTGTCTTGGGTGTAAATGCATTGAATTATTAAAAAAAAACAAAAACAATATGTTCCATAACTTTTATTTAAGACTAGCAAAGAGTAGTATTTGAGAATTTTGCCGTAATATAAAATTTCTAGAAACATTCTTTACTTTAACTTAACTTTACTTTCACGTAATTTTACACCATTTTCTACTAGAAAAAAAATTACGTTAGATTTACAAAGACCCCCCTCTCCCCCAAGTGAGATTTGGAAAAGTTTAGCTTGATCCCCTCCCCCCTTGAACACCTCACGTAATTAATGGACGCCGCCTTAAAAATGATTACTTTTAAATAATTTAGCTCTTCCAAAATTTTCTACATATTTCGTTGAACTTCTGGCACTATATATTTTTTTACATTTTTCTAGGACATTTGATTTTCGTAATACCCTGCTATAGGAGTTCTCCTCCTTTCTAGGGCAGTATGCCCGCCCATGCCCTATTTCTAAGCGTTGGCGTGTGGGACTGTTGTGAATGGTTTCATTTTCAGTTTGTGAAATAGTGGAAGGCGATGAGGGCGCCAGGGGGTGTGTAGATTGTTCTGTGAATGTGTGTTTAAGCCTTTCAGAGTGAATAATGTTCAATGACCACTCCTTTTTCATTTTTGGTGTTTATAAATATTGAATAAAATTTAAATGTCGTTTTAATTGTTCTAGGGGAAAGCCCGAGGAGATCGAGGGATTCTGTGGGTGCGAGGCAGAATTCAACAACAGTTGCGTATTCTGGGGAAGATCTTGGACATCCATGCTGGGAAAGTCCTCTTCGTGAGTATACTAGCCATAGCCACCTTCTCGGTGGGGTTGAAGAGCATGACCTTTCATTCGGACATCGAACTGCTTTGGGCCGAACCGTCTACCACACCGGAAACCTCTTCGGATATGCTCCCCAACTATCAAATGGTTCTCCAGACAGGTAAAGAACTAACAAATATTCTGCACGTATTTCGTTATCAATGAGCACTGACGAATTTTTTAATTACAATTATTATGTATTTGCAGGGTCGGATTCGGATGTGGACCTTCTGAGCCCCCATGGCCTCCTTGAGCACTTGAGTTTAGTACAGAAAGCATCACAAGTCACGGTCACAAAGTTCGATATCACGTGGACTTTGAAGGACTTCTGTCAGTCGCCTCCGTATCCAAATTTCGATCCGCACTACATGAACCAGATATTCGAAAAGACGATACCATGTTCCATAGTAACGCCACTGGATTGTTTCTGGGAGGGGGCCAAGCTCCACGGACCTGATCATCCAGTATACATACCGTAAGTGTGAAATAAATTTTATTTTTGTACCACAAAATACAAATAACACCTAGAAATAATTTTCAAAATAAAGTAAATCCCCATCTAAACTTCATTCCAAAGAATTGTCTCAGAATTGCTTCTGAGGGCTTTATCATGATACTATAAGAAGAATGTATGATATTACGCCGATTGATACTACGTCACGGTGACGTATTGTGGTGTGGAGGCGTGGCTTTTACGAATTTAAGGTATCAGCTGATCGAACTGGCTAATCAAACACCACAATACGTCATGCGCGAACTCGACGAGATTTCTTCGGCTTAATATTATATAAGAGAGGTACAATACCGGTATTCAGTTTATCAGTGTTGAAAAACTGCTATATTTACAAACAATGGTTTTTATATTTAAAATAATAAATTTTAAAAACTAACAAATCTAATCATAATGAAGTAAAATTTCATTAATAAAAATTAATTTAAGTAATGAAGAAGGTACCTAAAATATTTTTCATTTACTTCCTGGCAAAAATATAGTGCTATTTAAAAAAAATCAAAAGGAGTTTCCACACTATATACAGAGTGGCTAGACGAAATATAAACAAGGTTATTATAACATTTTGACTTTTCTATCATATCTTTAACTATAATACGTCATTCCCCTCCCTTCTGGAAAGCACCAAGTATAACACATAATTGGAAATAAATTTAATGGAAAATTTAGAAAATTAGTTTTCAATTGTTTCTTTTGTAGTATACGAGTCATTGAAATCAATACGATTTTCATACGTAAAATTGGTTATAACGTTGGAAAAACCCTGTGTAATCCCATAGGAAAAGGTGGGGTAAATGTAAATCTATACTTACCCCATGGGAAAAATTGTTAATACAAATATTTTAAGATAAAAACTAACATGCTCTAATTAAAGCCTTTTTAATAAAAAAATCGAATAAAATAAATGCGAGAAACGTACAACAGATTTTTTATGGTCACCATATATTATTATAATTATTGCTGCGTTTGAAAAGTACCTCATTTTACTCATTTTACTCGAAGCCGTTCTTTTAATACATCTGTGGCTTCTTGATGGGATCTGCTCCGTGGTATTTTAATGCCGAGCCTGTAAGCGAGTAAGCTCTATTTACTCCGAATTAAATTGTAGAGCTTTCGGAGTAAATGTAATTTCTGTGACAATTGACAAAGAAAAAAGCAGTAAACTGTTTTTAACTATACTTCTGTGAGATGTACAGACAGTTTGTCCCTTGTCTCTTGTATCACAGTTTATTATTTTTTATCTTATTTACATGACTGGCTATTAAGAGCAAAAAATATTTATAAATAATGTTAGACGAAAATGAGAACATGGTTTATTTTTTTAGTGATAGCAAAAACCGAAAAATACCACAGCTAAAAATGAACTTTACTTTGCAACTTGCAACAAAAACCACGAGACGAGAGATCAAATTTGTTTTAATCGGAAGGTTTTAGTTTATTTTAATGCAAACCGGAAATGGAAAACACAAATCCATAGCCGTTCTTTTTTTTTCACATAAGCTCGATTTGCTCGATGATCACGTGACTAAAAAATTTACCACCTCTACTCCGCTGCAGGAGGTACTTTTCAAACGTAGCAAAAGTTATTAAAAAAGCTATAGTAGTAAACCATAAAATTATTATTATTACATTCTGGAATTAAAATTAAAAGAAGTATATTTTTTCAAAGATTTGCCCCCGTCTACACTTACACACCTGCCTCTACTATTGTTGTATTGATATAATGGGAAAAGCTAGAGCTATTCAAATATAAAATAAAATACCACATTTAAAACACCCAACTTTGATACTTAAGTATTACTTTCCTGAAAAACCCTGTATAATTGAAATTATTTTTAAATTTTTGCCTTTTCTGACATACTTAGGTACATCTCGCTGTAAAAACAGATTTACAAAAAAAAGCAATTAGTTTTGGCACTACAGAGCGAGCCGTAACCGGTGGCACATCCTGTATATTTTTGTGTCCTACCCGAGATACTTTCTTTATTTGAATTTAATGTAAATCAAAGAATTCAATGCAAGAAGTGGACATGTCTATATTTTTACAAAAATAATCTAATTTTTAATATGGATCATGTTCTCTGATATATTTTACATGGTCCTATCCAAAAATCAGACTTCTTTTACTAATAGTAACATTAGATAGAGTAGTGTAATATAGCAAAAGAATATTGTTCGGTTTCAAATTACCTAAGACGGGCCTGTGCTTTTTCAAACGTTCGCGGCTTAGCCCCGAATCGGAGCTTCTCGAGATATTTCGTTAGCCACTTCGTGCTTCGTTCTGAGATCAATTTAAAAAACGTTTTCTTGTTCAAGTTTAAACTGTTTTTAAACAAACATTTTTTAAATGTATTCTGTATATAGTTAATAATACGTGATTTCATTGTTCATATTAGTTTAATTTAGTCATTCGATTTTATTTATCATGGCTCAAAAACCCAAATAAATGCAGGTGTTGTTTCACGATATCCCACAAATATATTATCATCAAAACTGTGTTAATATTAATACATACATGCAGTTTATGCTGTCGAAAATATTTAAATGAATACAGTCAAAAGTTGATTAATATTGTTAATAGTGCATAGGAACGGTTTTTATCTGTCATGAAAAAGTAAAATGGACGCACAGTTCCTGTATTTACCCCTTGAAATTATCCAGATGGTAATAACTCAAATAATTAATTTAATTACACTTACATAACGTTGAAAATATCCAAATGTTCATTTATTGTAGGGTAGAAAAGACTTCTTTAAAAATACCTGTTCGCGTATTTCCAATATTCGCGAACTGATTTTAAATACCTTCCCTAGATTGACATGGTGCAAGAATAAATAGATTTCAGCCAATGAAAGTTCGTCGTTTGAATTACGTAATCTAGAAAGAAAACAAACGAGAGGCAATTTGAATTTAGTCTGTTTACTTTTCCGTGCTGGGATTTTGACAGTGACTACTGTGACTAAGCACGTAATATTAATAAAGTGATAAGTTTTACTTTATTTCGTTTTGATTTGTCCTATACGTTGTAATAACGTACAAAGTGGCTACTTTTTAATTTAAATAGAGTGTTATCTCTAAATCGTTAGTGACACAAAGTTTGTTAAACAAGCCAGATTTACAGTTTTTTTATTAAACAAAAATCGTAAAGGGTATTTAATTGGTAGATACAACTAATTGGTTCGGAACATACAAGTACTCAAAATGTGAAAAAATATACTTAGTGATCTAAACTCGTAATCATTATTTTACTAATACCTAGTTATTTAGTTTGCTAATTAATACATTTTTTACAATTGTGCCTAGCGAAGTATATAATATAATGGAAGCGTTTCGTTGAGATGCTACCGAAGTAATTAGTAATGTTTAATTAGAAGCTAATTATTGCGATTTAGAGAAATCAAAAATTAATTATTGAGCAGACGTTTCGAACAACTTATAATTATTTGCATCACGTAATATACACATACTGGATTTTTTTTTCTGAATAATTAATTTCTACTTAACGAATGTGTCTTTTTATCTCAAGGTTACAGGGAGGCTCGTTAGATTTATGCGTTTTTTGTATACTTTCCTAGAAGTTGCTTGATTATGGTAATCAAGCTATTTGCTTTCCTGGCTTGAAATTAGAATTAATTTAATCCTTTTGCTATCTTCACTTCATGCCTTTTTATGCAATTGTATGATTTATAGTCAGGTTCACAAAGGAAAAATTCTGAATACAATAAAAATTTGGCTTCTTTTTTTGTAATGTAACTAGTTTATTCTTATAATCGATTTTTTTAAGTACATGATTGACCGCTTTGGCTTAGACCAATCATTAGATATGACGTGTATTTAACTGCACATTTTTGAAATTACGGATTGTAAATTCGAGTTCTAAGTAGTTATGATTAACAGTAAATAAATGCGTTTGACTCCTTTTGTTACTCCACCAATTTCCGTGCCTTCGCCATTTTTGTGCCTTTACAAATTCCTTCAATTTAATATAAAATCCTTCAAAATTCACCACAGGAAATAATTTCGACAAATTTATGTAGTGACTCACAAAAAATGTTTTTAAAGTAGTACTTGGAAAATAGAATGTTGCTTCATTTTATCCCTAACACCCTTTATACATGATAAAATTTGACTAAATTAATATTTTATCCACAGAGGAATAGGCAACCAGATAAAATGGACAAACCTACACCCCAGTGGGATGATATCCCAATTCAAGCAGAAAACAGCGCAGTACGACTTCAGTAAAGTAGAAGACTACTTCAAACGTGCAGGAATCACAACAGGATACCTCGAAAAACCTTGTCTGAATCCCCGGGATCCAGATTGTCCTGATACTGCCCCCAATAAGAACCACACCCATCATCCAGATGTCGGAGCTGAAATAACCAGTGGCTGTTATGGCTTTGCAACCAAGTACATGCATTGGCCTGAAGATCTAATCGTCGGTGGTGTTCAGAAAAACAAAACTGGACATATCAAAAAAGCTAAAGCCTTACAGACCGTTGTACAACTTATGAACGAACATGAGCTATATGAATTGTTGTCTGATAATTATAAAGTCCACCATATAAGTTGGAGCAAGGATAAAGCCACTGTTGTCCTCAATGCTTGGCAGAAAAAATTCGCTGAGGTGTGTTTCATTATCTAACTACATTTAGGGCAAATTTAAAATTGAAATCTTTATTGTTTAGGAAGTGGAACGGTTGTCCAAAAATAACCCATCGTCATCGTATGTATTCTTCACGTTTTCCACTGCAAATGCCAATAAACTTCTGATGGAGTACTCCCGTACTGATGTAGTCAGACTTGGCATAGTTTTGGGTGTAGCCTGCCTCTATGGCTGGGTAACCCATTCAGCCATTGCCTGTCTAGGTAATAAAAGTATATAAAATTGTTTTATTGTGTTTTAATATGATTGTTGTTTGTTATAGGTGTTCTAGTCTTAGCAAGTTCCACAGCAGCAGCCCTAGGCGTTTGTAGCCTCATAGGCCTTCCCATGAACTTATTAAGTACCCAAGTGTTACCGTTTATAACAGTAGGACTCGCCATGAGAGAAATGTTCCTCATCTTATCGACCAGTACTCGAAAACTTTTACCCGCTGATATATTACAAAGGACAGGACCTAGTATTATTTCGGCCGCCCTCATAAATTCCGGTGCATTTGTAGCGGCCGCCATTTTGCCCATACCCGCGTTGAGAGTGTTTTGTTTGCAGTGCGCGATAATGATCGTTTTTCATGGGGCGGCACTTATCGTTATCTTCCCCGCGTTTCTTGCTTTGCAGCAGAGATGTCAAAAAGCGGATGTTCCATGTTTTAGACCTGAAGCAAGTACTAAAGTTTCCAACAACATCAATAACAATAATAGTCCTGACGTGGTAAGTATTTTTATCTATGTGTAATCAAAATCCTTTATACCACAATAGTTTTATTCCCTAGCTCACATATTTCCCTGAAATACTTTTTTTTTATTATTAATCAAATGTGTTACCGTTATACCTTGTAGAAGTTTGTACGGGTCCTGGGCGGAGTTTGTCCTATAGAGGCTTGAATCGATATGTAGTTGTTCAAAAAGTGTATGTCTCTTGTGATGCAAGGCTTCGCAGTTTCACAGTACCTACATGTGTAGCTGTTTTTGAATCCTAATAATAGAGAGTAGTTCTCTTTCATGAAACCTAATACTGTACGTGAAACTACGTTTTGGTTCTCCTAGGTTTATATCTGGTTTTGGTGTTTCTTCTAATACACTTTATGAGAGTTTTGTAGGGTTTTTAATGCCCTCAATCCTCTAGTTACCAAACAGTCAATTATTAATGAATTATATTATTATTACATTAATCAAAGGTAGAGGACTGAGAGTCCTAAAAACCTAAATTTTAAAAGTTCACAAACAATTGAACTCTATAAACTAATTTAAGTATTCAAATAGTTTCGTGACAGTGTTCTTATTTCTTCCATGTAATCCCATACTAGCCCTGACGTCATTTTCTAATTTGATAAGGCCTTAAAAAGAAAGCCTGGCTGCCCTGTCATCATATGGATCTGTTGAAAATTGCGTAAATCTGGCCTAGATTTCTGAGGATAGATGCATTCCATTTATTAACGTGTTGTTAATCTAAACAACCAATTATGAAAAATCTTCAGTTGTGCCATCTGAATCATTCTTCAGTTTGCTCTTTTTGTACAGTCGCTTCTATTTTGTATTTCGAGCGCTTTTTTTTCGGTTTTTACACTTTCTCAACTACTTCATTCATAATTTTTAATCATATTACGTTATATCAACATAAATAAAAACAATACTTTTGTGACAGAAACATCTTTTAATAGAAAAACCTTTGTTGACAGTAGTCGAATATAGAGTGCTTCTTTTGGTATGATGTACGTTTCATTTATCGGTGCTTATTTCAATAAAAATGCTTAATGTACCTATTATTAACTCGTATCATTTTTCTTTTCAGGAACATGGAAGTAACTTACTTAATACGGAGCAAGTTTGCCAACACAAGAAAGGTGGTTTGATAGCCTGGTGCGTGACAAGTTACTTAACCACAGTTTTATTTAGACCCTTTATGAAAGTGCTTATGTGCCTCACTTATGCGGTGTTGATAATTTTTTGTATGTTCAATGGACTGAAGTTAGAATTTGACGTAAGACTTTCAACATTTCTACCTAAAAATACTCAAGAGTACAAATACTTAGAAGCGCATAATAAATTTTTCGGCTTTTACAATTTTTATTTGGTTACCACAGAACTAGAATATCCCCTAAACCAACCGTTGTTGTACGAGTATCATTCCTCTTTAACACAAGTTCCTCATGTCCTAAAAGATTCCAATGGTGGTCTCAATATGAACGACTTCTGGCTGGCGAATTTCCGAGATTTTCTGGTCGATTTGCAACAAGAATTCGATTATAATCGAAATAATAGCTGTTTGAACAGCGAAAAGTGGTTCCCTAATGCCACTGAAAAAGCAGTATTAGCGTTCAAATTATTATCACAGACTGGTGTAGTTCAGTATCCTGTTGACAAAAGTCAAATATTGAAAAAAAGACTGGTACGCAACAATATTATAGATCCAAACGCTTTTTATAATTATTTATCTGTATGGAATAGTAACGATCAAATATCTTATTCCAGTTCTCAAGGTAATTTAACCCCAAAACCATTCGAGTATGAAAGCTCAAAGGTCGATATGGATTTAAAAATTCCTAAGTCACAGCCTCTAGTTTATACTCAAATGCCGTTCTATCTTAAGAACTTAAAAACTACCTCAAGTATTATTACAACTTTAAAGCAAATTAAAGAAGTCTCAGAACAGTTCAATAATCGAGGATTGAAGAATTATCCTATAGGATTAATTTTCTCCTACTTTAATCAATTGTTGTTCCTCGACCGCTATTTAGCGGCTCAATTTGTGCTTACTTTCCTTTCAGCAGCTATGGTAGCTTGCGTTCTCGTTCAATGGGTCAAATTATGGTCTGCCCTATTTAGCACATTAGCATGCTTACTGCTCCTATGCCTCATCAACATTAACGCTCTTAGTGGCACTATAGGAGCTTTGCACTTCATTATCATTACAAGAAATGTATTTCTTATCCTCACAGGATATCTAAGTGCCATCGGCAATCGTGAAAGGAGAGTTAGATTGTCTCTTGAAATAAATTCTGAACCACTATTGAAAGGTGATTTGGGATTACTAGTTTGTACTGCAGTATTAGCTACGTCTCAATTTGAATTCATCCATCATCACTTATTTTCATTAATTTTACTGTCAGTATGTGGATCTTTGGCAAACTCTTTCTCGTTTTTCCCGTTACTTTTGGCTCTTGTGGGTCCAAAGGCGGAACTGCAGCCTATTGAACATACAGATAGAATTTCAACACCGCCACCGCTTCCTTCTCCCATTCCCTCGAGAAACTCATTCTCCAAACCTCCTAAGCGTAATCCTTCAAACAAAACTACCAGAGAGCCGAGTTTGACAACCATTACTGAAGAGAGCTGCAATCAGAGCATTGTTGTAGAACCGCAAGTGACTGTGGAGTACAGCAGTCCAGAATCCAGCTCTAGTGGACCATTTACTACAAAAGTAACGGCCACTGCTAACATTAAAGTAGAGTTAGTAGCCCCTGTATATAGATCTGGAAAGTGTAACACCAAATGTCACCGCTCGTTTAAGTGTGACAGGCGGAAAAGACAGGAACAAAACAGAACGGAAAAACAGTGTCGATGCTGTAAAGACTCGAATAGTAGTGATAGTAACACAGAGACTGACCAGTGTCCTAGTAGCTAGCATCTCGTTACCATTTAAGTGTAAAATATGTTTATAGTGAATATATGTATACCAAGCATTTATTTATTTAAAGATGAAACCATGTAAGATAGTAAAGTAAATAATTTTTTTATATAGGAGGCGATGTGGAACTATTTATTTTGAACCAGTCCTTGTATTTGATTCAGAACAGGTATACTCCTATTACTTTTATTTGGTTAAACAGGCAGCTGTTTGTATTAAAATAAATAAAAATTGATCAAATTGAATTTTCATCTGTATAATTAAAAGGTATCTGACACATATTATACTCATAATAGATTCTTAAATTAAAAACGCGAAGGTACTATCTTTTAGTATGATATTAGGTGCAACCAATAAGAGTTTTTTTAAGTACTGTTATTGATGTTTGATTCAAATTGTTTCCTGCTTATATTGTCATCAAATTCAACTAGTCAATTAGTCAGCCATACAGTCAGTACCTGTTCTGATTTTCACAAGAAAATGCTGGTGGTTTGTTCAATTAATCCGAATGATAAGAAGCATTGTCCATAACCATTAGGATTTATCTTGAATTTTGGACAAAGCAGGCATAAACAATTTGTAAATAGTAACACTGTTTTTTTCTCCAAAATTAAGAAATAAAAATAACAAGTACTAATAAAAAAATAAGTTTCTAGTTAAGATGAAAACTTAAAAAACGTTTGAGAAGCAACATAGCAAACCTAATTCGTAAACTCCAGGTATTCCAAAAAGAAGTGAAAGGAGTATATCTTGGTATACAAAAATGCTAGGAAAATAATACAAACTATGATTTGGTAAAAATGCTTATCACAACATTTTATTTTATCTACAGACTCTTTTGTTACAAAAATTATTTTATGTATCTAAAAACTTTATTATTGGAAAATAGACGTCCACTGAGTTATTTAACTATATGAAATGAAAAAAAAAAAAGGTGAGTAAGGAGGGTCAGGTAATCATTTAACATCTTGTGAGATCAATAAGTAGTAGAATATCGCAGAGGTAGACGTAGAAGCATTGTCATATTGCTCTAATAGAATTGACTGTTTTTTCTATTAAAAAAATAGCAACATGTCCACGTTTTGATCTTCTCACTTATCTTAGTGAAAGATCATTTCATCCACCGCACTGTAAATTTCAGATATCTAATTTGTCACTATGTTGACAATATATTAAAATACATAGCTTTTTTTACCTTATCCTGATTTTCTTTGGTAATAATGTATCAGTAGTGGACTATTTAGTATTTTTGCCCAATCATATGTTTAGGTGGTATTAATAAATACAAAATAATAGGCATTATTATCTTGGATCTGTGCTTGTGAAAACGAGAATTATATTTAAACATATTAACGATTCCGATGGTATATTCAACCGCAAAATGAACCAGATATTTGATTTTTGTCCCGCAAATTATATTTTCCAAAGATGATTTTTCATAGAATGAAATCAAATTTATTTGATTTTGTAAAAATGTCTTTAATTAAACATTATTAATTGAAATTTTTGTTATTGATATTTTTTTGAAAAACTTTTGACCGGTTAATTTTGCGGTTGAGTATATAATGCAAATTGTAAGAAATAAATTAAAAAATTCAGTATATAGGTATTATAAAATTCTTTGAAACTCATGATAGAGGTACAATGATTCAGCATGCTACTTAATGATTTTTATTTATGATATGTATTCTAAGATCTCCATTTGACATTTATAAATTTTTAACATTTTCCACAAAGCCTAACTGATGTCTAATTTTCGCCATTTTTACATTGTAAATTCCATACCAATAACTTAAAAAAAAGGAACTGAATTTATTCAGTCCCGTATTATTTATATTATTGTTTAAGTAAATATTTTGACAGTACTTTTGACTTTTACTTGCTCCACGTATTTATAAAAATCCATATAAACCACTTATAGGATCCTAGCTCGAAAGCAATTTAGAGGTTTGAAGCTTTTCAACAATTTTCACGCTCGCAAAAATGTCTTGTATCAGGATAATAGAAAAGGGACCAGGTATTAGGAGATATAGCCAAGCAGAGACAGTGAGAAGTCTTAACAAGTACTCTTAAAAACGACAAAATAAACATTAAAAAAGATGTATAAAAAATTTTTGAGATTAAAATTTAAATCCTAAGCTCTATGGTATGTTATGTTGGGTATGGGTTATTACTGCACTCACTATCTTATCCTAATCTCAGTTTGCTAAAGTGTCCTTTGAGTCGGCAGTGCCCGGTAAGCCTGCAAAGCGTTTTTGCTCAGGCTGATACAGGCTTCCGATCTTTTCTGGTTACATTCCCCAGAAGTACCTTAGCCTGTCTTAACCACAAGAGATTGTTCCAATTATCGGTTCTTCTACTGCCCAATGCTTTTTAATCTCTCCCAATATTGTGTTACTGCTGATACCGCAGAACGGCTCAGGTTTCACAAAGGGTGTTTGAATATCTTTCCTTGCGACCGTAGGACAGATTCTCATTGTACCAGTGATGAAAACAAAGGCTAGTCTTTGTACTTTTGAGATATTAGCCCTCGCAGTAGCTAAACTAGTTTTTTTAGTCCACGCTACAGCCCCATAAGTGATGATTGGTCGCACTATTGTTGTATACATCCATCGCAGTATGTTTGAGTTACATACCCATCTTTTGCCCGCAATTTTTCTGTATACCATTAGGGCTTTTGTGGCCTTATTTAATACTTCCTTCTCATATATGTTCCAGAGAAGTTTGTTGTCCAGGGTTAGGCCTAGATATTTGACTTCTTTTTTTCCATTTTATATCCCGTCTAATTTGGCGATTTTAAGATGCTAGTGTTGTTTTGTTGGGGTTTATACTAAGTTCCATCTCGCTTAGCACCATCTTTTGGTGTATTCTAGTCCTTTTGGTCTATATCACACAGGATATTTCCAAACCTGCCTCTAGAAAATATGACTATGTCGTCAGCATAACCTTGATAGGGTATGCCGAGGTCAGTCAATCTGCATAGAAGTTCGTCTACGGTTAGACTCTACATTATAGTGGGGATATAACTCCTCTTTGTGGACATCCTCTGGTTATGGAGATGGTGTCTTGCCCTATCTATGTCTCTGCTGTTCTCGTAGATAGCAGTGGAGCCATTCATCTGGATGTGGTGCTATCTACGCCTCTGTATGTGAGTGCTCACATGACAGGTTCGTGTGGCGTGTTCTCAAACGCTCCTTCTATATCTAAGGAGACACACATGACCGTTTCTTTGTCAGTGCATTCTGGATTTCATCAGTCAGCTGTACCAGGGCAGTTTCTGTAGATCTGATGTAATTATCAACAGCCTTCTCCATTGTTTTTCATACAAAGGATGTGAGATTGATTGGTGGGAAGAATTTCCCTACTTTTAGAATAAATGTGACTCTGGCCTTTCTCCATGATTCTGGTATATATCCCAGTTCCAGACTACTCCGGGATATCCAGATTTTATGTGAAGCAGAGCAGAAAATATTCCAACCACACCTGGAGACTTTAAACCGATTACTGCTGCAAATGTGTTTGGCCACTATAAGGGCCTCTTTCGAGGGCTTACTTACCTTATTTGTGTCCCTCATTAAAAAAGGTGTGCTCTCAAGAAAGTGTCAAATTTTTCCAATACCTACTAATTAATTATTCGGTTTAGCCGCGTTTGGCTTAAATATTTATTCTGTGGCAACATTTTTGGAAAGATAAATATTTAACATTTTCCCCACCTCTATTCTTTTCGATAAATTAAAACGTATGTAGAAGGCTTATCACAGTGTTGCCGAACCGAGGCCGTTGAGGAAAAATTAATATCGTATGTTAATATTTTTGTCGAAAATTGGATATGTGTGATTCTGTGTCCTTCGAGGTGAAATCTTTGTGGTTCTCAAATATTATCCACTTAAAACGGTTTACCAGTTGTTAGTTGTTTCCATCTCAATTAGGGCGTGGTTCAAATCCCACTCGTACTGAAGCCCTACGCTTGTGGCCTTCAGTTTCTACCCCATCAGGTTCATATTCTTGACGAATTCATGAATATGTCTTGTGGGCACTTTCGGAATTTCTTCAGTTTCAGATATTCTACCCTAAAATGCAATGGCATAGTATGTGAATAGGAGTGTCCTCCTCCGCTTCACATAATCTACATAGGGAGTCATCCGATATCCCTAAAAGATTTAGGTGTCTTCTAAACCCTTTAATTCGCTCCTGTTAAGGTTTAGCAGTTGAGTTTGTCTGCTCTTGGACGGACCCTCTATGAATATTCTGGAATGCCAAAGTCCAGGAAGTTGATATGAAATACCATGTGATCTCGTACAATTAAGAGTTTTCTGGCTAGGAGGTCTACTTTCTTGTTTCCCAACAGTTCCTCAAGTCCAGACACCCATTCAAGAGTGACCTGGTGGTTGTTGGCAGTCCAACATTAATTTGGATTGTACTTCTATCCTTTTCAGTGTTCACTGTCATAATAAAGATCCTCTTATCTCTAAGAGAGTCATTTAGTATAACCTGGGCACGTGCATTTGTTGCAGTTACTTCAGCTTGGAAGACTGTTGCCAGTGACTCTAGGTTTAGACCAATGGTAAATTCCAGCTCCTGTGCTGTTTTTCATCTGCGAAACGGTCTGTAAACCATATTGATTCATTTTGTATTTTCCTATTTTCCCGACTGTTGGCACTTCGAGGTATTTGAAAGCTCCTTCATTCCTTGCACTTCTTTTTTCTTGTGAATGCAACAAGATATTTAGTGCTTGCTTACTCGTATGTCGTCTGCAAATGCTTTTATTTACACCATACTTAGCACAGGATCCGAAATAAGGTCGACCATCACCCATCTGTTTGACGAATGAAAGTTTTTCTTAAATAAAATGTTTATAAAAATACCGCAAATGGGTTGCCTAAGAAAATACTGCCATGGCTAATTTTCACTTTCCTTTCTGTATACAGATAAAGAAAATATAGGAATCATGATAAAAGTTGCTTGTCATTCATTATAATTTTGGTCCTATACATGATTTCCATATAATAGTAAATTATTAATTATTGGCGACTTTAATATTAAAGACTTCGCTTCCTACAACTAATCAGCAGAAGTAAATACCTCAAAAAAGGTTGATAAACTTCCAAAAATTTTACGATCTCAACTAATATAATGAAGTACTGAACGAGAATGGTCGTTTACTTGATTTAGTTTTTTCAAATGTAAGCTCTAGGCAACTAGAAATCAAAGAGAATGTGCTACAAAGAAAATAACTCTTAGTGACCTGTGATTAATACATATTTTTAATTCTATTTTTTGCATTCTTTATAACCTGCAAGATTGTTCTACTTTTTAATAACCAAAATATCCGACATTCTCCGTTCATAAGACATCTTATTTAAGGCTTCACAAGACCATTATATGCTATTAATGTCGTTTTATTTAAGGCTTCATAAGACCATTATAAGCTATTAATAAGTCGTCTTATTTATGGCTTATTTAAAGCTTCACAAGACCATTATAAACCATTAATAAGACTTATGGCTTATTTAAGGTTTTACAAGACCATTATAAGCTATTTTCTCTTTTTGTAACATCAGACGTCTAAGGTGTCTTTCAGGAAATACCAGATGTCTCTAATGTCTTATGCTAGACATCTTTAAGACGACTTTGTGCTATCTGGGGAATATGGTAACATTATCTGACTTTGATATCAACGGTATTTTTATAATCGCTTCAATACGCATAGCTTACTGAGAAGACGAATAATGCAATATGTTCTGTTTTTACACGAACTTGTTAATAAGAAATAGACTGCATTTTCATTATTAATCTATTAAACTTTCTCATTCCCAGAAGTAATTCGCGCCTTAATCAGGTATTCTATCAAAATACTACTAGGACCAATATATGTAAGGTTTCTCCCCTTTATTTAATGATTCAAAACTATTCTGAGGTTGAATCTCAGATTGACATTTTTAATTGTATTTTAACCGTCATAAGAACGTATTTCCTTAATCCATCCTGCAGTGAGCTGATGAAATTTTGCGCATAGTCGAAGCATATGGGGAATACTTTATATGATGTCGTTTTTTTTATAGTCTTGTGACAGTATTTTCTTACGCAACCCATTTGCGGTATATTTATAAACATTTTATTTGATAAAAAAAAAACTTTAGATTCATTAAACAGATGGGTGAAAGTGGACTATACTTCGGATCTTAGACTAACTGTAATTAATAAAAAGCAAAGAACTGAGTGCTTTACCTTGTGGTATAACAATTTTAAGGTATATAGGATTATTATACACTTTGGAAAGTATTTAATGAAAATTGTAGGGTAAAATAAAACAACGAAAGTGACTTACATCTTATTATTTACATAAAGATATGAAATCTAAAGAAAAATTCTCGATACAACTCTAGAAAAAATATAATTTGGCATAAGAACAGAACTTTTTTAATTTTTTTTTAAACAAGACTCCAAAATAGCATCCGGTTTTCGAGAATGGACCAGATGCATTAGTACTGTTCTGAAAATTTTGAAAATGTGAATTTTTTTTACTTTTTAAAATTTTTATTATTTTTTTGTGTTACTGGAAGACAAATCGCAAATACTTCCACAACAATCTTTACAACCTAACTTACATATATATTTACTTAAATGCAAGAATAAGCAAACACTAAAATAACACCCATTATCACATTTTTTTCTTAATTTCTCGCCCTCCGTGATGAGGTAAAAAATATTTTTTTCAACATTTACACCAAAACATCTGCACCCCTTATCAGCGGTCGAGAAATTACTTTATAAATTTTATAAATAATTTCATGCTAACACACAAAATTAATAATAGGGTATTTAACATGATTAAACGATAGAAACCCTTTTTGTCCTGCAAGAAACAGTCCAATCGAGCTCAAAAATTAATAATAAAAAATAATAGAGTATATTTAAAACAAAATAAAACATAGGTAGTAAAAACAATTTAATTTAATTCACACTCAAATTTTGTATTTTGGTTTCGCTTGAGCTGAATCAAAAATTTAATGGTTTCACTGTCCGATAAACATAACTAAACACTAAATTTTCTACCACTTACAATAATTATAAAAATCGCTACTAGCAATATTTTATCAAAAAGCATACAACCATTTTTTTCTTCTATTAATAAATAATAAATTTTCAGTAAAATTAAAATAAACTTGGAGCAGTTTTTCTATTAAATTTTGAATTCAACTAAATTTAGATATAGGAAATCATTTTTAACATGTTTTTTTTTTTGGGAATAATTCATAAATTTTAACAGACATTACAGTACCATGTGATATTCTTACAAAAACTTTTACAACCTTTTCTTTCTATAATTTTTTATAAAAATAAAATACATATTGGACCAGTTTAGGTAAATAACAAAATCTTTTGTGTTTGGTTTTTTAATTTATAAATCATAATGAATATTAGAATATAATGAATATTAGAATAATTTAAATAAATTAAGTCACCATTAATGTTAACTAATGAAAAATTAAAAACCAAGGTGACTGAACATTGATGTTGCATCACTTTAAGCTACCCCAGATCAACGCGAAATAGTGGATAGAATAGTAAACAATTAATTCTAAAACGATAAAATTTGCACTAGTTCGAACATGTAGGTTGGGGAGCCTTTATCCAATGTATATTTTAAATATTCTGAACATACACAAAACACATTTTCACCATGTTTTAAAAAGTCAGATCTGTGATAAAAAATTGACTAGACACTTTTAAAATTAGCAAATCCTTGCAAAAATTTGATAGTTATAATGCATAAAATTCAACACAAATAGTTATATTAAAAAACCAAATATATAAATATTAGAAAAATAAATTTAGACAATTATATTTATAGATTTTTTTTTTCGTCAGAAAGTGTCAATTATATATTTCAAGATCACCGAAACAAATTTTGATTTCAAGAACGTTTAATATAAACTACGCGACAGATTCTTTGGTCTCAACAGATTTTTGGAGGTCAATGAATAAAATGAAAAAGAATTATTTTACTTCCAAAGATTTGTTGTAAAAATTTGGTGATCTTTTTGAGCACAGACAAGTACACGACATACATTTTCTAATAAAATTTTCTGAACTAGATAATATTTTTTTAAGTAAAATGTGATATACAAATATATTTTCCGAAATCATTTTCGATTTGAAATTATTTAAAATATTATATATTTTTATTAAAATACAAATAGAGACCCAATAAAACAGTATTATTTTCTGACAGGCAAATTTCCATCCATGTTATGTAATAGGCTAACTTTGGCCTTATTATTGTTTTCCTATTTTATAACGCCTTTGTCCGAGAGTGTACCAAAAAAATAAAGAAGTCAGACAAGGCTGCAGTATTTTATATCCATGTAGTTCTACTGTATGGAAGCGAATGTTGGGTCGTGATAAAATAACACAAACATACAAGAAATGACATTCCTAAGGAAAGTAAAAGGCCGTCCCAGACGTGGTAGAATGTGGTACTTTGAATATGATAGATTTTTGAACATGTAAAAATAATTTCCTGTTTTTGTGTCCCCCCCTGTAACTTAAAATCGATCCAGTATATGTATTCTAATCTAAGATATCTAAAAACACTGCATCATCAAATCCACAATTGGAATAATGATCGATTCAGTTTGTTAATTAACCCAAAAATTATATGTTGATATAAAAACAATCGACCATGTAGAAAATTAGTCAAATTATTCTGTACAGTGTTCCAAATTCCAGAACTCAAGGATGCTCTTTTGAGAAGTAAAAGGAGTCATATAAGTCGCACTGAAAAAATTCAAGCAAAGATCAACTACCGCAAGTTTTCAGGTGCCAAATATATTTATTTTAACCTAAATACTAACGTAAAGGAATTTAATTAACGCTATCCTATAATATTTAGCGCCTCGTTATTTTGATTTAACAATATTTATTAATTTACACTACCTTAAAACGTAGTTTACTAAAATTAGAGTTCCCGAAGGATTTTCTTGTATTTTTACCAAATAGTTTTATTGGGACACCTTGTATGTGCAATATATGTTACGCTACAATATTTTAAATATCTAAAAACAACGCTAACATTTCATTTTTCGCATTAATGAACATTGTTCACTAAAAACAAATTAAAATAACTCAAATAATTTTCAAACAGACCTCAAACTAGACTAAAGTGTGAATAAAACAAATTCCAATGAGTTCGACAAATAAAACATAACAAATGACTGACTAATAATGAATAACTAAAAGATACGCCCTCTAACTACGCGGGAACAATGTAAAAAAAGTTTCACTTCCCACAACTGATGAGGCTTTTCAAATCGTGCAAATATATCCCGCCATATTTTTGCATCCCTATGATTCTGTAACTTTACTTCACGTAAAAATAAATCAACAATTAGTAAATAACGATATAATTGTAAGAAAATTTTCAAATTAAAATCAAATTTTGTTACAAGCATCTAAATCGCAGTCCAGTCCGATCTTAATCCAACAGATGTTTTTCGTATTCAAGTTTTAAACCAATATAGTGGTTAAGCGTTTCAACCGTGATCAGACCTGCAATTTCTGCCACTTTCAGCATCCTTTAAACGAGAGGACGGCGTTTTATAGCCGTTGAAGGGATTCAAGTGAAATTGCATAGCTGCTGAATGAACGAGTGCGCCCAAAAACCACTGGAATCGCCATCAGAAGATACTTTTACTTTTTTCAAACTGGAATGTGGGGGCAAATACCAAAAGGCTGATTTTTTCTTCCTTTTCTTCGTTTTATCATAACAGGATTTGTACAAAAATTGTCTGGTATTGAGAAAGAGATTTACAAATAATTTTCTTACACACCATACAATCCTGAATAAGCGTATTTTAAAAATTTTATCTAGGAAGATGTGGTAACAACCTAAATATTCGTCCAACACAGTATATGTGCCAGGAGGAAAAGGGAAAGTACCAATTTATTGGAACTAACAAAAAACATATGAAGCAGAATTAGAAATATCCACGAAACAGGTGAAACAAACTCATTATACACTGAAAACCAATGAAGATCTGAAGAGCTGGAGCAAAGGAACATGCGTGGCAAAGATAAATTTGGCAACCAGCAAAGATGATTGGCTGAAAATGGCTTAACTACTCTGAATAGATAGATTTTTGAAAATTTTTAGAGCCTTTCAAAAACTGCCACTTTTCCTACAGGTTAGGGAATGATTCACAACAAAATAGTGTAAAAGTCTAACTTAATATTTTGTTCACATTGTAATAAAAAAAATAAGACAGAATAGATTTTGAATAATAATAATTGTAGTAAAGTGAGAAGTGGAACTATTATTAATTGTAAGATCCCAATGTATGAAACAACAAGCTTTTCTTAGCGTTAAATGTATGAACACATTATTTTTATACAGAAATTTGGGTATTTTCAAAAACCTGGTGCTTTCGTGCACAAATCTACTTTCGAATTAAATTATAAAACGTTTCCATATCAGGTGATTTGGTCAATTAACGCTATATACAAATACTAAATGCCTTTTCTCACATTTAAAAGTGAAATTGCTAAAACTTTCAAAAACAAAAAATTACTGAATAGAGCATATAAGATTATTTACAAACGAATTATGATAATGATAAATACAGTTCAGAGCATTAATTGGATGAGAAGTGGAAAACTAGTAATGATTCGTATGATTTTTTTTCTTTAGAAACCAGTCAGATTTTAAAATTGTTACTATATTTTTACAAATCGATGCAGTTTTTTAAAACCACAAAAAATTATATTGCTGTTTCATTTCACTCTATTCATATATTTGTTATGAAAGTACAAAAAATCATGTAAAAATGTAAAAGATTAGAGGTAATGGCACCAAAGTTACATGTTTAGAAGCTTGAAACGCCCCATTTAATTTATATGTTCTTAAAGTACCCAAATTATTTTTTTGTTTTTGGAAATCAAACCTACATATACGATATAAGAACAATCTAAACTGATGGTGATCACATCAGGTCAAATTTTCCAAAGTAGACTGTTTTCAAAATAGCCTGCAATAACAAAAAACATTTTTAAGTAACAAATATATAAAAGTCACGAAATTGGCTGCACACAGATATTCATGACATTTTGCAACAACCTTTCTAAACAATCAAGCATTTATGAAACATATAAAAATATCCCGTGTATTTCCCAGTGTCACATTTGATGTTTAAAGCAAATTGATATATATTTTATAGTCTTCAACGATACCTGCATCCCATGTGACTAAATTGATGTCATCAGTCGTCTATTACTTCAGTAGTAACCCTAAAAACAATATCACTGGCCTAGTTGACAGAACTGATACTTAAGATGTCATAAAAGTCATTCTTGTTTTACCATATCACAATATTTAAGAACCTATACAATATTAAAATAAATTTAAACTGGTTATTATTGTGTGTACAGAATCTGAAAAGATTGTCAAACATCGTCAGTCACAGCAAAGAAATTGTAAAATGATTTATCAGAGATATATTGTTGTACATTTTATTCTTAATTAGATTCTTTGTACAGTTTGTATTTACAATGAGGAATTCTCATCTGAAAAGAAAATATATAAATAATGAAAAATATCTAAAATATATGCCAAATAAGAATGTTTTTCTAGGTAGTTAAAACTACAGGTACATAACGTTCAAAGCGCTACGTTGGATTTGAATATTTGGCAATGTTGTAAAGTTGTTTTTAGGGATTCTACACACGGAAAACCGCTTCCATTATTTAAAAAACAAAAATGGGAGAGAGATTTTAGAATAGTTCGATCACTCTCGTGAACGTTGTATTTATATCAGTTGTTAATTATGTGTTTTCTTCTAACTTCTTCGTCGTTTGTGTTTATATATTTTTATCGAGATTTTTAGTTTTTTACAGTGGTGTTTACTAATGTATAATAAATTTAAATTAAATAAATAAATAAATAAATAAATAAATAAATAAATAAATAAATAAATAAATAAATGTATCATTGCCATATTTACAGTTATGTGTTTCCTAACAAAAAAGTGGTGTGTAATACAGTGAAATAAATTGAAATGATTTTAACAATAGTATTTTGTAGTCTTTACAAAGTCCCTACAGCTTGAAATAATAATAATATTTTAAAAAGTTGTTTCTTTTAAGCAGTTGTATATACAGATGAAAAAAAATATAAACTTATAAATCACCCTGTATATAAAAAAATGTTTCGAGTAAGATCTGTGACGAAAATGTATGTACTTAGTTTATTCTCTAAACATTTACAAGGATGATACAATAGGTTGCACAAATTAACCGAAAAAAACATGTAATAACTAGACAGGATACATAAGATTTTTAGTCATATATTTCGTTTCATAAGACAACAGCAAATAAAATATACCTACTGATATTCTACCTTTTAAACAAAGGCGTTTATATTATATACAACATGTTAACTTTCCAATTATCACTCCAGAAGAACGGTATAGAAACATAATGCTATTGGACAGACAGAAATAGAATGCGTTGCCGACTGCAGACCGCAATTTCCCATGCTTGCCATTGAAAGGGCGTGGTTAAACAAATTACTTTGTTTATGCTTCTCACATTCAAATATAATTAAGCGTTCCATGACCTAGTTTTAGATAATGGCATTAAACCCTTCATGACTGCCATCAATTACTAGGCAACCTTGCTAAATGTCAAATATGGAACGTAGTGCTTTAACTTTTAAAACCCACTACTAAAAACTGGTACAAGTTAAAAAAAGATTTCTGAAATGAAAAAATTCAGGAGAATTCCTCATTATTACTGTCCCTATATTATTAAAAGTTTTGCCTTATCTTTTTAGATTGTCTAGAAGAATTGTTATGAAAGAAAATCTATGTGCGCCAAAGGTTCGTCGAAACTAAAAATTAATTACCTTAGGCTCATTCTTTAACCTCTTTTTGTCTCCAAGAATCAGTACGCTGACGAGTACTATTGTTACGAATACGTCCAGAACCAAAAGATTGAGTACGAGATCTGGCATATTTAAATCCTGAATCTGCTGGCGCGCTGGTTCCAGGTTGTGGGTGGACATTTTCGCCCCTAAAACGAATAAATCGTAATTATTTCAACTGGAAACAAACAAAAAATACGAAGGTTTCAAATTAGGTTTATGCATGGAATTTTGTTTTAAAAATTGTAGTACCTACTTCCCTTTATACCAAAACTAAACTCGATGCTCAATAATAGTAAACTGCAGCAACATTTTTAAATTAGAGACCTTTCAAAACCTTTACTTTGCCTACCACAAGAGTTAAATGATTCCGATCCTTGGTGTGTATAAAAAGCTGAATATATTAGTATTTAAAAATATAATTTTTAACCATCGTCTTACTATTGAAAATTAACAAATTTTAAAAACTAATCATTTAAAACAAACCCATGTGAAATTAATGAGTCTTTTCTTTGGAATGCCATGTCAAATCGCAAAAAAGTGTTATTTTGGACACAAAATAGCTTCTATTTTTCCTCATACTATAATAAAGATGGAGCTTTCATCAGCGGGATTTATGACCATTATCTCTTATATAAATACAATGTTTGAAAAAAATTGAACTTCCGCTAAACGATCATAGTATTTGCAGTCATTCTATAAACTAGTAATTTCAATGTTTACCTTTGACTGTTGTGAGAAGAACGTCGGTGGTCTTCACGAGATGTGCTGGCAATAGCGGACTGGCTTTCTGACACGCTTCTATTCCGTTTACCTTTATTATACAGACTTTTGCCATTATGCGATCTAAAGATTTCATCTATTCTAGGCTCAACCACACGAAAATCTTCGATTGTCTTAAATTTATCCAAATGTTTCTTTAATGAAGGACTGACAGTAAGGTGACCGCCGTGTTTGTAGTACTTCAAAAACGCCCAAAACTTCTCCAAACCGTACAGCTGTCCATTTTCGTAGTCTCTGACTGTTTCTTGTTGGAAATCTTCATATAAGTGCGGCCTAAATTTGACTTCCAAACCATAAGAATAAAATCTGAATAGACATTCGAGTCCGTAGCGGTATCCCTCTGCGGCGTCTTCCAAAGCTAGACTTTTAAACTCGTTATACATTGTGCGGTTGAAGTTCTCCCTTAGGAAGAACGACCAAAAGCGGAATAATGTGTTCATTTCATTTGATTGGCCGATTCCGAAACGTTTTCGTTCTAAAAGAGAAAACAGGGCAAAAATGTATATTTAGAATCAGCCAAGAATAGTTAATCTATAAATTACAATATAATTTATTACACCTTTGATTAGTTGCATCTGTATGTGCAACAAAAATTAAATAATTAAAAGTTATAGTGATTTTTTTACTAGCAGTGAATTGACATTGACTTTATTATTTATACACAAATAAATTGGAAAATAGTCTATTATGCTGCTGCTTTTAGGATATTTTTTTTTTCATATTGTTATTTCTTACAAATATGATCAATACTACTTTCTGTAGTGACTCTAGTGTAGGAGTTAATATAGGATTTAAACTCAAAAAATGATAATATTGCTAAGTAATTGTTATGAAGTTCGTCTGATCAAAAATGTTTAAGTTAAACATTACCTTTGAGGCACTTCTGTCTGAATTTGTGGTATCCCTGTTGGGTGAAGTTGTTTTCTTTCAACAGAGCATGTGATGGATGTTGGAAAGACGGTAGGGCCTGGGGAACGCTGCCGTAGCTTCCACAACTTGTTCCTAAGGGAGCTTCACTGGGGCTTGTTCCATAGCTACTCCTAAAATAAATAGATCAACCTATGATGCTCTGATAAGGAAACTGGGAACGGGGAAGAATAATTTACAAATGTAATGCAAATACTGTTTTATGAAGGGTGTTTTAAGAATGTAATCAGAATAATGGGTGGGTATTTACCCTCTTTTACTTCTTATTCGTTTTTGGCTTGTTTTCTTAGTCCTTCATAGACCATTTTATTCTTGTTTGTACTTTTTTGTTGTTGTTTCGCTACTTTTTCATTGTGCAATGTCTGATTTATCACCCTTTTTAAATACCGGGCAGACCTTAGAGCATTTCCAGATAGATGGGATAGAACAAAATTTGAAACAAATATTTAAGAGAACTTTTAAGGGATGAGCGAGAATTGAAGCACAGTCTTTCAAAACAAAGGATGGAATATTATCTGACCCCACAGCCATTTTAGATTTCATTGATTTTAACGTATTTCTAACTTTATTTTCGGTAAAGGAATTTATGTTTAAATTTGATACATTTAATAGATTAACCTCGGAATTTGGCTAAGTAGAATCAGTGTAAGACTTACAAAAAAGGTCAGCAAATCTATTAATAATTTCAGTGGGATTCTCAAAGTAATTTTCATTGTAACGCATTCTGCTTGGCAAACGAGTCGAGGATGTTTTATTTGAAATAAATGACCAAAATTTGTCGGGATTGGATGATATTTCATCTTCAGATTTTTTTTATGAATATTTCGAATGATATTGCCATTAAACCATGGCGGATATTTCGTTTTAGAGGGTATGGAAAATTTTGGTACACACAAGTCAAATATGTTGTATAATTTTTCGTAAAAATAGGAGCAAGGTCACTGGGGTCCTGAAACACTTCTAAAAATTGCCAGTCAACTTTTGATAAAATATCATACATCTCTGGGAAATCTGCTTTCCTAAAATTATAATAGTGCTGAAAAGAGCTATCAAATCTCTTATTTACCTCTGATATACCAAGAACATTATAAGTTATGTCAAGTGACGGGTGATACTTACCTTCGTAACTAATGGATCCAGAGATCTCTCAACCAAAATAAACTTATTACATAAAACTAAGTCTAAAATTTTGTGATATTATATACAAAATTGTTTTGTGACAGTGCAAATAACTCCATGAAATTGTTAAGTAATGAGATATGTCTATTACAAAAGGTAGAATTAAGTAGGTGGGATGCATAATCTGTAATATTAAAGTCACCTATAACCAAGAATGACGCATTATATAAAAAAATTAAGTTCCAAAGATTTAAAAAGTTTTCGTAATCTGTTAGTGTAGTTTTAGGTGGTATATAAACATTAACAAAAACTTTATATTCACTTTGAGACAAATGATTATAAACCTGACTAGTTTTCTGATAAAATATGGCTTGTATCCCATTTGCTCTTTTCATTTTTTGTTTTAAGGTAGCAGTGACCATAATATAATGAAGGGAATCTGAACATGATTTCCTAAAAGTCCTTACAACTTTTATTGTCAAATATTTCCTTTTTGTAATGAGTAAGTGATCTATTTGGTAGTATGTTTTTCATTGGGTGATATCAAAGTCACTTTATGCATTTTGAGGCGTTTGAATATTGTAGAGCTTATAATTATTTGTGCTGCTCTAGGTTACATAACTTATGTCCGTTGCTATTTATTTTTTTCTCATTTTTCCCTATTACTTTACCTATTTTAGAATTAAAATCTAGAAGTATGTCTTCCTTTGTCCATTTTTCTATTTTCTCTTCTAGTAGAATGCCTCTTTCTTCTCTGGTTTGGGGCATATATATTTAGCAATATTACTCATAGATATTCTATTCATTTATTTATGGGATTAAATTCTAGTGATTTTTCTTGTAAATTATCTAGCATCATAAATCCTACCCCAATTGTACCTTTACCTTTCCCATCTTATTACCTGAATTGTTGTGACACATATTGTCGTTGAAACTGCAAGATGTGCTTTGTCAAAAAATTCAAGAATTCACATGTGGCTTGGAAATAAAGGCATGATAACAAGAAGAAAAGAAAGGAATATAAATGGAATTTATATATTTACCCTGTAGATGTGGTACGTAATCGATGTTCTCTAACGTCCATTATCCAACCAACATGTTGTTCAACGGGAGGATTGCTTGAGTGTCTTGTTTTTCGTTTACGAGGTGTGGTTGGATCTGGCTTATCTTCTTTGACGACGGCATAGAATCTAGGCACGTTTCTATGCGGCGCTTTATTTGACTTTTTCCTATTATTTTGATTGGTTTGCTGTCTTGGAAGAGTGTCAATCTAAAAAAAAAACAAACAATATTGTGAAATTATGCGATTCAAAAAATAAACTACTTACAATTGGTGGTGGAGGTGGAGGCACTTGTGGATTAGTAATTTTTCGAGCTGGTGGTGCCATCTTTTTGAAGTCTTCTTGACTAATAACGGTGACAGTCTTGTAACTCTCAACTGAGCTTCTTTCCTAATTGATAAAACAAAACATTAACTTGTACCAAACTCGTAAAATAAGAACTTACATAGTCTTGATCAGTCCATAAATCTTCTTCGTAATAATTAAGTCCATCGTTGATAGCTTGGATTAAATCTTGACTCATTTTGACACGAGTTGTCCAGTCACCTGTTCTATCATATCCTTCGTGTTTTGGAGCTCTAGTTGTGGTGGTGTTCTGCGTTACAATTAATAACTTGTTCACGTCTCTATCACTAAGTTCGTCAGAATCATCCTCGGAAGGCCTAAAATGATAAAAAAATCACATTGACGTGACTTAGAAAAGGATTAAAGAAATAATTAATATACCATTCGTTAAATGTGTTTTGTCTTCCAGTTGGCACTTCTTGATCTAATTCCTCGTCAAAATGAAAGTCCAATTCTTCTCTTTCAAAAGATTTGATTTTGGACTCCTTTCTGACTTTGTTTTCTTTGTTTTTCCTTTTGACTTCTCTCCAAGTTTCGTCATCTTCGTTCTTCTCCTTTCCATTGCCGTTAGAATTGTCGTTCGGTTCTAAGGATGAATCAGAGTTTCCATTTGTATTGCCGTTAATAGCGTGATTGAGTTTTTGTTTCTTTTGATCTAAAAAGCGACAAGACACTCTTTCACTGCGTTTTAACGTATTAATAATAAGTTTACCTATGTCCGAAGGTACAAACTCAGCAACGTCAGGGTTCAGATTCTCAATCTGTCTTTCCCTGAGGGTTTTTGGTAACGGCGGTGGAGGAACCAATTTTGAAATTAATTCTTCTTTTTTCTCGTTGGATTCGTCCAAAATAGGCCACTTTAGGGGATCTTTCTTTGGTCTCACCTTAAAACCCGCAGTCAACTCAAGTTTGTCAGATGCACCTATGGCTTCAACTATTAGAGCGACGTTGCTAGTTAAAGCCTGCACGCGGTGAAACGATGCTATCAAAGTAACCGGAAGATAACCTTCAGCGTCCATTTTGCGTCGCAGGAAGAAATCCCTGTTCAAATTGTCTTCACTGAAGTAATATTCTCTGAAAATTAAAATAATAAACTAGCAAATATATCGAGACACTGCTACGAAATTGATGGGTTGAAAGCATATACAAGCAACAACTACATTTTTTATTAATTGACGTATAGACCGGCGCATATAGGAGGAAATGCTGTTTAAAATATAATCTATATAATATTTCTACACACATCTTACTCGAAACATTTTTTTTATATATATTCATTGCCAATGATAATACTGAAAAATTAAAATTTTACACGTTTGCTCAAATTTTTCCATTACGGTGCATTTTAGAGAAATTATGTATAGAACAAAAATTGTAGAGAATAACATTACAAGCAATTATTATTTGAAGAATTTTCTTCTCCAAGCGTAAATAACAGATATATTCCATAAAGTAGAAAAACGACCCCCTATAAAGTACCCCTCTCCCAAGATGTTCCGTCTATACCCAAAATTTATTTTATTTTTTTTGCCGCAGGATTGATTAAAGTGTAAATTTAAAATTTGATGTTTTATTCTTTATTCTTTTTTGAGTTGTCTGCAAAATTCGAAATTAGTACTTTTTTTCAAATACATCGAATATGGTCCATTTTATAGAAATTATGTATAGGATAAAAATTATAGAGAATGACATCACTTTCTTAAAAATTCGATTTTTTCACTATTTGTCAAATTTCTTGAATACGGACCATTTTACGAAAATTATGTATATAACAAACATTACAAGCAACTTTTATTTGAAGAATTTTCTTCTCCAAGCGTAAATAACAGATATATTCCATGATTTCTTTACTTTCCTTATCTGTCTACAGACAGGAAAGAAAAAAAAAAAAAAAACACAAATTTCGTCGTTTTTTTCCATATTTTTTTTGTTTCTACCAAATAAGTGTATAAAATAGACCTCAAAGAACAAAAATAAACAATATCGACTTTAGTGAAATACCTATACGATCAGGAATTCCACAGGGCAGCATTTCAGGTCCGTGTTGTTCATACTTTATATTAATGCTATGATTATATTGCAAATATTATAATCCAAGGGATGAAGTAGTTAGTTGTTGAAGCTCGTATTATTAAAAATTAGTTAAATACTTACATTTGATTGCGGATATATTCCTTAACTGTGGGTCCATCTAGACTCAAATAGTTGTTGCTATTGAAGTAGTATGTTCCCATGTAAGGCATAAACGTTTGTCCATCAATGGCATCACCGAATTTTCCACCAAACTCTGGTGAGTAAAAGTCTAGGTAATCAGGATTACTAGGTGCCCTGTTATTCTGTCTATTATGTATACCCCTCTTGCCTCCCCTAGTCCTCTCGTTGCGATTTCTGGATCCTGGGGTAGGACGAGAGTGTCTGCCGTTGTTAGAGTGACCATTAAGTTCCCTTTCGGCCCTCCAATCTTTGTCTCCCTCGCTAACGGTAGAACGGTCATCTCCGGCTCTATCATTTCGCCGGCGATCGTTCTTGTGGTTCTTTGACAGATCTATTTCGAGAGGCAGCCATTTGTGCTTCATTGGTTTCTTTTTGTCGTCTGGTTCCTCGAAGTTTGGCTGGTTTTGACGATCTTTGGACGTTGAAGCTGTTGTGACTGAGAAAGACGATTGAGCTGCTGTTACAGGACTGAAAGACTTCCGAAACTGAAAAACAGAGAAAACCATTGAATAATGTTAACTCTAAATAAATTTATTTAGGGACATTCAGATTGATATTATGGTAAAATTGTCATGCAGTCATAGGAAAAAATGTGTGTGAAACAGTAGTTATGTAATATTTATTATACCATTTAGGTTTTAATTTAAACAAAAACGATGAAGTATTTTACACCTTGACTGCTTAATTTTTAAATTTGAAATTTTATATATTATTCCTTGATCGTAATAACGACTGAAATCAGTAAAATGGATATGAATAATTAGAAAATGTTTGTTGTGCAATGAGTTAGATGTTTATGAATTCAATAGAACAGATACCGATATAATTATTTGTAAGAGTTATGTGTGAATAATATGATAAATATTTTAGGTATTTGTAAACAGACATTTTTGATACAACATAAAAGAGGTTTTCTAATATAAATTAGTGATAATTTCCGGAAAAGGTCAACAGGTAACAAATTATTGTTTAACGACCCACGAGTTGTATTCATTTCATACGAGTACGATCATAATCATAATAAAATAATTAATTCTTTTACTATTTTTCATTTAATTATTGCAATTGGATCTTAAATATTGTAATAATGAAAAAAATACTTAAATACTCGGATACAGCTTTCGAATATATACAGCGTGTGTCCAATTAAGTCGGCACAATATGGGAAACCTTTTTATTGTCAGTTTTATGGAAAAAAAGTTCTGCATGGCTCAAAATTTAAAATACAACCACCAGATATTACATTTTTTGAGTCGTGTACGAGGTACACCAAAAAAATATACATTTTGCTTTTTATTTTTGACAAACCTCGTATACGACATAAAATTTGATATCTGATGGTTGTATTTTAGGTTTTAGACTATGCACAACTTTTTATGAAGAATAACTGTTTTCTAAAATTATTAATAAAAATCTGATGTGTCCAACACATGACTTTCCTATCTAGTTATTGTAGGCTTTTTCCGGTTATTTTGTACAACCTATTACAGCATCTCTATAAATGTTTAGAGGATAAACTAAATATATACATTGTCCACATACATCTACCTCGAAACATTTTTCTATAGATATTCATTGAAAATGAAAATACTGAAAAATTTAAATTTAGCACTTTTCCTACAATTTTTCCATTACGGTCCATTTAAAAAAAATCATGTATGAACAAATATTATAGAGATCGATATCGCAAACAACTTTTATTTCAACAATTTTCATAAAAATCAGAATTTTGCACATTTTGTCAAATTTCTCGAATACGGACCATTTCAGGAAATTTTTACAAAACACAAAAATTATAGATAATAATATTAGAAGTAACTTTTATTTGAACAATTTTTTTCTCCAAACATTAATAACAGATATATTCCATAAAATATAAAAGTGGCCTCCCATAAAGTACCCCCCAGATGTTCCGACTATGTCCAAAATCTAATCATTTCACGTCAGGCCGAAATAAACCTTAAGTTTAAAATTTAATGTTTTTTTCTTTATCCGTTTTTGAGTTTTCTTCAAAATTCGAAATTTACACATTTTCTCAAATATCTCGAATACGGTTCATTTTAGAGAAATTATGTATAGAATAAAAATTATAGAGAATTATATTACAAACAACTTTTATTTGAACAATTTTTATAAAAAAATATTTTTTTTGCATTTTGTCAAATTTCTCGAATACGGACCATTTTAGGAAAATTTTGTATATAACAAAAATTATAGATAATTATATTAGAAGTAACTTTTATTTGAAGAATTTTCTTCTCCAAACGTAAATAACAGATATATTCCATAAAATATAAAAATGACCACCTATAAAGTACCCCCCCAGATGTTCCGACTCTGCCCAAAATCTAATCAGCTCATTGGACGCTGAAACAAAGCTTAAGTTTAACATTTGGTGTTTTTCTGTGTATCGGTTCATGAGTTATGCGTTATACACACACACACACACACACACACACACACACACACACACACACACACACACACACACACACACACACACACACACACACACACACACACACACACACACACACACACACACACACACACACACACACACACACACACACACACACACACACACACACACACACACACACACACACACACACACACACACACACACACACACACACACACACACACACACACACACACACACACACACACACACACACACACACACACACACACACACACACACACACACACACACACACACACACACACACACACACACACACACACACACACACACACACACACACACACACACACACACACACACACACACACACACACACACACACACACACACACACACACACACACACACACACACACACACACACACACACACACACACACACACACACACACACACACACACACACACACACACACACACACACACACACACACACACACACACACACACACACACACACACACACACACACACACACACACACACACACACACACACACACACACACACACACACACACACACACACACACACACACACACACACACACACACACACACACACACACACACACACACACACACACACACACACACACACACACACACACACACACACACACACACACACACACACACACACACACACACACACACACACACACACACACACACACACACACACACACACACACACACAGACATCATCGCGAAAATAGTCAAAACGGATTCAGGGGACCTCAAAACGTAAAAATCCGTCAAAAACTCGAGGTCGAAAAAAATCATGATTCCTATACTTTCCTTATATCTGTATACAGATAGGAAAGTAAAAATGTTTTCCATGTACCGCCATCTTACGTAGCGAATAAAAGTTATTACTGTTTTTAAACCAGCGTATTACATTTTCGATTGACTTTTTATGAGGAAAATAATTTAAATAATTATTTATCCTTAATCTCCAATATACGGGGCGAAATCAGTTTATGTTTTTAAAATTAAAATAGTAGTTTAAATAATATTATGTTTATAGTTTCCCATACATTAATAGTATGGTATAGATTAAAACTTATTTTGACTTTGCCTCCTACTTTGGTGAATTTTTCAGGGACGAAAGTACATGATAAGATAACCCTTATTCCGGAGACAGTGCAAAAGGGCACTAACATAAAAAATCGCGTTATTGACACCACTGTATAGAAAAAAAAAATGCTTTTTTGTGTTTTAATGCACAATTAGGTCTTTGTAGGAAGTATTTTTTTATAATTATTTAAAAAAAATTATTTGCATTAGCATTAGCTCTTATATTATTTTATACAGGGATTATTGATTTATCCGCTATGAATAATAGGGTGTATTAATTACTTTTTTTTATTTTTTGAGGAAAATAAAAAATAAGAAAATATAAACTATTTATTGAAGGTATAAACAGAGTATATATAAGTATCGAATATAAACAATAAGGCTATTGCTTTGCAAAATACAATAAATTCCCAATATAAAAAAAATTATGATAATAATTAGAGGTATATAAAGCATATATTAATAATATTAAAATTTATAAGTACAAGACTTTCAAACTAATCAGAATCAGATTCACCACACGAATCAACATTTTCCAAAACATTAGGGGCTGTGGTCAAACTATTTCTGTAGTTTTTCTGTGCCATACAGGTGCAGAAACCGATACAGCCAATATTTTTTTCCTGTATTTACAAATTTTGCTTCTACAGTCTAGAACAGAATAATATTGTTAGAATATTGTACATCTATGAAAATTATCGGTGTATAGTACCTTTTTTGCATTTGCATGATGTAAGTTCTGTTATGTCTGGTGGCAGGTCAGGCAGAGTCTTAAAAGTGGGTATCAGACTTCCATCTTGATCTACTTTTCATCCATACTCTTCAACATTAGAAAGCTGCATCTGCGGCTTTAAAGAGCTGAGCCAAATATTTAGCTGGTAAAAACATCTTAAACAATGTAGTCTTAGGGCGTCTTCAGTCGGTGGCAATTTAGCGATGGTTTTTGAAGAGACCATTAATCCCCTCAAAATGTTAATGGAAGTAACATTGGCAGTTTTTGAATACATTTTTATGAAAAAATGTTCAAGATTAGAGAATGTGTTTTCAGAGTACTGGTTGTATCACAACCGTTCAGAGAATGAAAGCCAGGCAAATTTTTTAGGTTTTCATCCAAATTTAAATGTACTGCTAGAAATCGTCTTGAGTCCCCTCATCCTGTTCTGAACCATATATCTTTAGTCAAAAACTTCTTAAAATAAATTAATAAGACTAAAACATCTGTATCATTGCAATCAATAATGCAGCGTGAATGCCCCGAATTTTTGGCTGACAATATGTACAATAAGATACGAGTATCAGCTTCTTCGTGATTTGAATTTAAGAAATCGTCTTTTGATGGTTCAAAATTCGTCCCATTATTGATATTCGCGAATCTACCACTAGTTACAAATTGAATATGCTTTTGCTGAATGTAATTTTGAAGAAGTTGCTCGGACAGAAAATTTATTAAACGTCTTTTGTTAAATATCGAATGAATAAACAAGTTCCATCGTTGCGGAAGTGGAATATTGGGTCGGTCAATTTCTATATCAATTGATTTCTGGGATCCTCTCTTTTGACGTGTTGTATTTTTAATAGAATGTTCTTTATAATGATTAAATACCACATCTATCCTTTGAGCATTAAATTTATTTCTAAAAATAATGTTTGACACTCCCACTTCCCACCCCAATTATTGTTATTATATTGTTCTATCACCGCACCGCCAACAGAAGAAGTATGAGTAAAACAAGATATCATTTATGCAGAGGATGTTCCAGTGGTACCAAGATATAATAAAGACGCAAAAACAGATAACAATATGACACATTGCCCATTGGCACCTAACGAGAAGTTTTATAATCAAAAATATGGTGTTTACTCTGTTACCTTGTTAACACATAAGCAAAAATTTTATAAATAATTATTTTTTTTC